ATATTATAAATATAAAATATAATATATATTATATATGTGCGTACGAATACACACACAACGCACTTACGTACGTGACGTGTGTTCGTGCGTATGTACGTATCGAAAAGAACTAGAGAACTTAGTAAATTATTCTAGTTTTTAGCTAAATCAACGTATAATAAATTATTACGCGGAGACACATGCGGAGGGGAACGGGGAAAGGGCGGGTTTAGTGAGACGCGAAATTGCTTGGCCCTGCGCGACGCGTCGCGCTGCCACGGCTACTTTACGTTTATATATTGCATTATACACATACATTATATATATATATATATATATACATAGATATATATACATATTGTACCTACGTTTTTGGACGAGCAGAAACCTTCTCGTTTTACAATCCGCTCCGCAAATTTGTTGCTCGTCCGGGCGTGCAACGCGCGCGATACGCACCTTCACGCGGCAATTAACGGACACCCAGTGTACGCGGCTCGCACACGTGTGCGTGCGTAATCGCGTGTGTAAGTACGAGGCTAATTATACGACGAAGAGAGAAGCGCTTGGAAAAAGGACTTGCTAGTTACCGACGAATGACGATATATAATATTAATATATATTTAACGATAAAACCAAATATATATATATAAATATAATGCTAAACTGACAAAGAGATGAAGGAATAATAACGATAACAATTATTTATGGTACATATACATAACTTATACACTACGATAACGTAAACATACGCATATATTCTTGTCATTTTTAGAAGGTTAAATTTATATAATATACATATGTGAAAAAAGAGAAAGAGAGGGCGAGAGCTATTAACGATGTCGGGCGTAGTTGACTTAACGACAGGAGATTCGCGGATATTCATAGGACGTGCGAAAGTTTATCGTGATATTATCAGCAAGATCGTAGATAAATCTCTGCCACGTTTACGCTCCAGCTCGTGAACGAATACAAAGTGGAGGTGAGCAGCCACGGTCTCGTTAAACATTCATAAATCTTTTTCAAAGTTCCGGATAATATTCTTAAAAAAAAAGAATTTAGAATAATAGAATAATAAAACTTTTCTATTGCTACGCAATTATAATATATATTTTTATTACAAAATAGCTTTTTTATAAACCTAATTTTTTATAGGCTAAAATAATTATGCATTTTCACGATAATAATAATTATAATATTAATAATAATTAAATAATAAATAATTTTTATAATAATGCATTATATATTACCTTTCACGGGGAAACGAGAAATTAAAATTAAATTTATTTAAATAATATTACGTACAGTGCAGTTTAGTTGAAAACTTGATGTAACACGGAGATTTCAATTTAGCAAAAATGTCATTCGCGTGATATCGATTTATTCTCGTGGCTGCTCCAATCGGCGATCTCCGTGGAAGACACATATGTTTATACAAAAACATGCATAAATCCATTCAAACTATCTTTTCATGCTCGTAAGAGTGTATCCATCGTAGAACAGGATTGTCGCTTTCACGAATAAATATCTTGCTTCTCACGGACGATCGCCCGAACTTTATAATGCAGTAAGCAGTGCAACGCACATGCGTCAAATACGATTACGTGAACGGATCAAATAGGAATGGATTAGATTCTCGTCTACGATTCTCCTTGTCCGTGAACAGATACGTCGATCCGGCCGTGTAGATTGAGTCGGACGGTTTCCATCCCTCCGATTCCTCATCGAGACCGTAATCACGTGAGAGTAGCGCAGGCTCGCCCTCAAACAGCGAACTTGCCGCGTTTTCTTTCAACTGGATCGCGTACATTCGGCGATTACATCGTCTTCGCAATCGACTAGGAAACGCGCGCGAAAACTGGGTGATGGATCGCAGGGAAGATCTTCGCCGCATCTCGCGGCAACCGGGATCCGAGGATGCGTTCTTTGTGTCGCGCATCGATTTTCGATACGCCGACGATATCCGGGTTCCATCGGATGCTTTTTGCTACGCGAGTGTCTCGCGCGAGTCGTAGATCGCGGATGATTCGATTCTCCCGTATAATTATTCGCACGCGTTCTTTACTCTCGTGGGACGTGCAAATTTCAAAGAGAAAAAGAAAGAGGAAAAGAGAAAGAGAGAAAGAGAAAGAGAGGAATGAGATTATCCTCGGACGACAAGCTCGACAAAGTCCACTTGAAAGAAATCGCAAAGCGACACGACGTAAAAACGAACGCCCGAAGGTGGAAATTGAGAAAAAAAAGTGATGCCAGATCGCTAACATGAATACGTATAGACACACGCACATATACACGCATCGCGCGTCTCTCCTTCTCTCATCTTTACATACACACATATACATAGCATACACGACATATACATACCATTGCGAGCGACACTTCTCAGTGCAGTGACATACATACACATCATACACACATGTATATCGACATTGTTTGCTTCTACGCAAGCATCACTCAATAATACCACCACTAATTAAGCTTTTTAAAGTCTAACAGTACTAATAGCAAATATCAAGGAACACAACCTACCCTACTAAATATCATAATGAATAACGATAGATAACATATAAATATATAAATAATATACATATATAAATATAATATAAATACGAAGATAACGACGATTGTAAACAAACCAAAAAAAAAAATACAACTATTTTATCCAAACAAAGTTTTTGCTACAACCGAAGTAGTGTGCATCTTGCTATTGAAATAAATGAGACTTAAGGGGGATAAAAAAAAAAGAAGGATATTCTTAGCTCTAAGAAGAAATAATAATAT